AATGACTGAGCCAGCCAGGTAGCCCTAACATTGACTTTTTAAAGAGCACAGGCCAGCTGTCTTGTGAAATGTCCCAACGTTCTGTATTTATATCATTTGACTTTTTCATCTAGGCCTAGAATAGAGACTACAAAGACATCTGGAATGCTGCCTAGCGTTCTAGCTCCTTATCTATTCCCAGAGACCGGCCTTCAACCGTGAGGAACACCAAGAGATCACAGCTAAGCTGAACTCCAGCTTCAACTCTTCAAAGCAATTGCTAGTTTCAAGAAGAAAAGGTACTTAAATGATATTGCCAAAACAAAAGCTTTTAAGGTCAAAGGAGAGGTGTCCTGTTTTAATGTTGATCTAGCAAGTCCAGGGTCTGCAGCAACGTGGGCCATCCCAGACAGCATTCAGGGGTCAAGGTCAGCTCTTGTTTTATGTGAACATGTAGGAAGGACCAGCAAAGGTGCTTCCTTTAACTTCCTTTTGCCTACCAAATGACTCTGGCTTCTGTTGAGCTAAATGCTAGACTGAAAGAATAACAACAACAAAAAAAATGTTATTATCTCAACTTTTATCAGACTTTAGAATGGGTTTAAAAAAGGCAGGGGCTTGCTAACTTCACTGGGACACACTGGTACGTTATGCTCTGAGCTCCAGGAAATGTCTGATCTTGCCCCAAAATACTGTCTTTGCATTTCAAGGGCAGCTCCCCAAGGACTTGGAGAGCTCTGACAGAAAGGCCCTCTGCTTGAACCATTTCAAGGAAAACTAATCATGAATCTACATGAACACATAGGAGTGTGCCATCCATGTGCTTAAGATGTAAACAGGCCTAGAAGGGGGCATTAGTATGTGGGAGAAAATGTTCAGTGGCATTTGTGGCTGCACTTCTCTGATAGCTTATGGACACAGGCTATTTTGGACTGGTACCTCTCTAGAAATACAGACTTAAATAAACAAAAGTGCAGCCTCCACCGAGGTGGTGTTCTTCTCTAGGCCAAGTGTTTTTAAAAAACGTGATTGGCCAGCTAAGAAGTGTATCCGCCTGGTGCCTCAAATTCTCAAACACTTTATTTGAATACCATGTGAATGGCTAATCTCCTACAAGTTTTGGGGCTTTAACAAGGTAAACAAATGAGTGGCTGTGAAAGTAAACACTGCATTTCCTCCCAGGCTCCTCCTCGGATCCAAAATTCCACTCCCTCTGTCCCTTTCACTAGCCCCAGCCTTCCCCTTCCCAAGCTTGGTCTCTTGTACCCTGCAGAAGTACTGAATTTGCAAAGGAGACATTTTTAATTATAAGTACTACAGTAATGAATTCAAGTACACTCGTTTATCATAAAGGGCTTTCCCATCTGTCTCTAAAGTATACTTAAAAAGGCTGTGTATTTGATAACATTAGCACCGAGCATCTTCCACATGTTACTGTTCAGCATTTTAGATGTTAGCTTCCCGCACATACCGCCCCCCCCCAACATGGTGGTTGTTCCAGAAAAGGCACATTTATCTCTGTGTTTGGGAGTGCCTGTGTGGTCTCTTCCTAATTTATTTGCACTCTAATCCTCAGGGATAGCATCCCAATCCCCGTAGGCAAAGGGAGATTAGGGAATGGGGCTTTCTGCTTCTCCCCACCCTAACAGAGAAGGGAAAACAACTTCCTCAAGTCCCTCAAGTTCATCTGGCCACTGTACAAATTGTTCTTGAGCATGGAGGGTTTCCAAAAGCCCTAATTAGCAACTCACAGCAAACATTTCTTTGCATTAGCTAATGATCCGGCTACACTTGTAAGCAAACAGAACCAACATATCTAATCAATGCTGAAAAACCAACCAAATGCCTATTAAACATCTGGATGTAATTTTCTAGTTAGAACAAAATGAAAACATATGCAGGTTCCTTTGATCTGCATCTTAACAAAGAAATTGTTGATAAAAAACCATACTGGTCAGTCAATGTGTCATTTTCATAAACTCTACTCGTTTCTCTTCAAATGCTCCCAGTTTAATTTAGCTGGTTTCCTGCAATCTCTAATTTTACCATATTGTGTGAAACCACAAGAGATTCTTTGGATGTGATTTCATTTGAGGTTTTACTGCTGCATGGATCTGCTACTGATATTTTTTTTTCTTTCTTTGCTTTCTCTCCTCCATGCCCCACGCCCATCCTGCTCTTTCCTTTGGTAAAGGGCTGAGGGAAAAGGTTATAAAGCAATGCTGGGAAAATTCTTCTGGACTCTACATTCATGGGTTTAATAAAACTCTCAGTTAAAAAAAAAAAGTCAAACGAGAAAACGTATAAGCAATAACTCACAGCTAAAAGGAAGAGAAAATAACAAGTGATCTTCAGAAATTGACATACTTATTTCAAATAAAAAAGTAATAGATTTAAAAGATGCATAATTTCCATGACCAGCATCCATAGCTTTTTCTATTATGTCTAGAACCTATATGATATATAACATCTAGTTTTTGTAGTGACTTAGGCCATTGGTTGAGTTGAAAATTTGCTAGTCAGCAACAAATGAATGGAAATATACCCATATATGCATCAAAGATAAACAATCTGGCAATCTTCTTGTTTCTTTGCAGAGGATAAAAAGGGGATTTTTTTTTTCAGAGATAATTTTCTATGGAAGTGGAGTACTTAATATCATTTCATGGAAAAACATCATCAACATATGAATATGTTAAAGGTAAAAAAGATTATGGTTAACAGGCTTTAAATAGAAGACTAAAATGATAGATTTCATGAGTAGGATTATTTTTTTAAATAGGCTGTAGACAATCTGCACATATATTATTTATTTAAGACATAAGATTAAAGCTACTTGATTGTTTAAACACCATCATTTGTAATGCAGTTTGATGAGAGTTTTGTAGTATAATTATTACAGCATGACAATCACAGAGAAAATATGACCTTGAAAAGGGGCCCAGCCTTCTCCCTCTGTCAAAGAAGATGGGATGCACTCGAAAACCAACCATCTTTATGCACACAATTAAAGGTCTTCCAATTTTAAAATCATTATGCTTTCTTTTCTCCAGATATTACATTATAAGAAATTTAGAAGGCTCCTTTCTCAAAATATACCGTTTTAATTTCTCTGTTTAAACCCAATTACCAGTGTGTGCCAGTAAATCAAACTAAAGCTTGGGTAAGCCAGGGAGAAGTGTCAGTTGCCCCAGCTGACACAGCATGCACAGGCTTATTTGTGGCATCCAAATTCCTTCTACACAGTCCTGGAGCTGATTATGGGATGAACTGACCACAGACTGACACAGGGCCCAGTCACTAGATGAAGATTTCAAGGAACACAGGTTCAAGGAACGCAGGTTGCCAAAGGACAAAAAACTTAGCTGCCCATGAATCACACTATTTCAAAAAGTCCTCTGTGTGGAAAAAGCCGGCTCCAGTCATCACTCAATTTAACTTAGGAAAGAGGGACAGTGCCTGCTTCCTTTTCATTCTTCATGTTAGCAAAAGGAATACTATAACCCCCTCCCCAACCCCACTTAATGAGAACACTGCAAAACCACATGCCGAACTTGTTTAAGAATTTACTGTGGCCTTGTACAGGCTGGCTAAAATGGCTCCCTTAATTTTTCATTTATAATTGATATTTGGGATTGATGCAATTATAGACAAATCAATATCATGCATATTTAAAAACAACCCCAACAGTGAAATGTATTATCTAAAATGATTCTTTTAATATTTCAAGAAAAAGATCTGAGAAAGTAAATCTTCGAATAAAATGTATTTCTCTTTAAATAAATGCCTTTCCATAAGTCCCTTGAAAGTAAAATAATGAGAACGTGAAGGTTATTAATACCCAAAACTTGTTAAGTATCTTCCAACGTAGGATGAGTGTTTGTCAAAGATGTGTCTTTCTTACGGAAGAACTCACCACCATTGGGCTACAACAGCATTATTCACTCACCAATCGTATGGAAATAGCTCAACCTAACCGTTCTTTAAACAAAAGTATAAATGCGGCAACACTGAAGGTTTTCTGCTATGTGGTGTATTTGAAGAAAGAGACAAAAACTGGAGATTTACACAGTATGCCCCATTTATTTAAAATCTCAAAATACCTTTCAGGTCAAGTTCCACTCACAAGAATTTTAGCCACGTCATGTACTCAGCGCGTCCCATTTAGCTCCTCACGCAGCTCAGCCCTGGGGTACCACCCTAAGTATGGGGTAAGGGCGGGCAAGACAGGTTCCAGGTCTCCAAGCTGGTTTATCCCATTTTTTCCCTTTGTTTTTAGTAATGGGAAACAGACTCGTGGTCATGTTGCTGAGAGGCCCCTAAAACTCTCAGCGGCTCCCTACCCCCGACCCCTTCGACAGCGAAGTCGAAGACAAGGACGGACTAGAGATTTCGAGCGCGGGCAAAAGCCTCGCATCTGCAACTGGGACGTGCGTGCCTTACCCTGGGGGCACCTTATAGTATCCTTCCCGCCAAACGAAGGCAGGCCGACCTTTTTGCAAAGTCGTTTGAAATGCTCCAATAAAAGCCAATCCCTACCACCTTGGGTGCAAAGGGAGGGCATGAGCATTAAAAGCCTAGTCTTAGACGGCCGGTGTACGTACGCCAACCAATGCGCTGCCGCATTTTCCACGAAGTGCACAGTCCAATCCTTCTCACGAAAAGGCAGCTCAAGGAAAAACAATCCTCATAGAAATTTTTGAATGTGACCTCACTTTCAAAAGAGGAGCATCAAACAAGGGGCAAGCACCGAAAGACGCATTTGGCTCGAACTACCAACCCCCCGCCCCCCCATAAGAAACTACGCGGTTAGTCTCCTCTGAGTTACTTTCACTGAGATCTGAGGATTTCCATTAAAGGGAAAAGTGAACAAGTGGCAGGATTTTTGCAAATTCGAGCCCCCAGCTTCCGCCGCTGCACGCTCGGCGGTCCCTCCCGCTCGCGCGCTCCCGCGCGCACCCTCGCGGGCCCCACGTTACTTTGATTGACAGCCCGGCCCCGCCGCTCTCCTTCCCACCGACCTTCCCATCCACAGTGCCAATCTCCGCGTCTCGCTTCTTCCTATTGGCTGGTTTCGGCGTCCCGCGGCTCCTCCAGGAACAGTTCTTCACCGAGCCCGGGAGGACGCGGCTGGCGGAGGAGGGGTGGGGGTGGTGGGAGGGGAGACCGGGGAGACGGCGGAGATGGAAGCGAGTCGGGTGGGAGAGGAGGGGGAGGACGGCCCGTCCAGTGTTGCGCTGCCATTGGCTTCGGGGAGGTGTTGCGTCAGCACCCCACGTTGGGCATGGCGCACGCGATTGGCTGGCGCACGCTTCCCCGCTTCCCCCCCGCTACCGCCCGGACCCACGTCCCCCGCCGGCTCTGCGCTCCCGCCCCCCGCCCGCGCCGGGCTGGGCGGGGCCGGCGCTGGTTAGCTCCGGAGTGTGAAACCGCGTGTTAATGTAACCGGCGCGAGAGGCGCGGGCGGCGGCGGCGGGAGCGGCGGCTGCAGGAGCAGCAGCAGCGGCGAGTACCCTGTGCCCCGCGTCCCCGAAGCAGCCGACTGCGCCACCCCCACCCTCTTACGGCCGGGCAGGACCCGTGCCCCCAGCCCGGACCTCCGCCGGCCCGCGGCGACCTAAACACCAACGCGACTACTCCGGACCGGTCTGCGGAGTTTGCCCGCCGGGTAGGGAGGCCGAGCGGCGGAGCGCACTCCTGCTTTTTTTCCCCCCACCATCTCGTGGATGTCGCCCCCCGGGTCGTGAGAGAACTTTGTAGCGGGCTGGAGCGCCCTTTGCAGAGAGGCAGACGAAGGAAAGGAAAGAAAGAGGGCCCAGGAAGGGGCTTGGAGGAAGAGTCCAGAGCGGCCGTGAGGGGCGAGTGCGCGCGGGGCGCGGCGCCCGGATGCACCCCGGGATCGAGGAGCAGCAGGCGGCCGCGGGACTGCTCTCCGCGGTGTAGCCCCGCCGGGCCAGGAGGGTTTGTGCAACCGCGGAGAACACCAAGTGTCGGTCGCACGGGGCGTGCCGAGCCGCCTCCCGGCGCGCCCTCCGCACTTTCCCCGCCTCGTCGTCATCCCGCGCTCCTCCGCCCGGGCTGAGGCAGCCGAGCGCCAGGCGCGGAACCTCCGCGGCCCGGACCTCACTCCTCACCGCCTCCCGGGAACCCACGAGCGCCCGGCTGAAGGCGCTGCCCTGACCCGCAACGGTCGGTCCCGAACGTCGCCAGGTTTGTTTGTGTGGGGTTAGCCGGGGGCGCCGGGCCACCTGCACCTCGCCCGCGGCCGGTGCCGCGGGGAAAACCCGGAGAGGAGGCGGACCGGGAGAAGAACGAAGGAAAACAGCCCGCCTGGATTTGTTTGCTCGGGACGGGTGCCGCGTACGGGAATCGCCGAGGGGAGCGCGGCCGGAGTCACCGCGCCCCCACCTCTCCGCCTGGGCAGCGGAGGCCCGCGGTTTGGATCACAGCCCCCGCGCGCTCTTCTTGGGCGCCGGCGTCACCGCGCAGGTTCTTGGTGCAGCCGGGCCCCGGGTGCCCCGCGATGTGGCCCTGAGCGAGGGAACCCGCACCGGCGGGAGCAGGAGCAGCCGAGTGGCCGGTGCGCCCCGCCGAGCGCGCCTGCGTGCGTGGCCAGCGCGCTCCCCGCGCTCCCGGTTTCTGCCTGCCTTCTCGGCTTAATTTTCCTCGGCGGGATTAAAGTTGGAAATTGAGCGGAGAATTGAGTTGCCCGGAAACAGAGCTACGGCCGCCGCCAGAGCGATGTTCCCGCAGAGCCGACACCCGGTGAGGCGCGGCAGGGTGCTGGGTGGAGGGGCCGAGCAGTGGGTTGGGGGTGGGGTGGGGATAGGCGCTCTTCCGGTGCTGTAGGGAGACGGGTGTCTGCTACATTCTGGAAGACCCCCCCAGCCTCTAGGGGTGCAAGGCTGGGGAGGTCCCGTACCGTCCCCTCCTGTGGTGGGGAGTGAGCTGAAACTCAATTTTTCCCCTTTACTCTGGGCCCCCTCCGAGTTGACGTCTAGACAGGGCGGGCGGGGGCGCCGTGAGAGGCTGAGGTTTCTTTCCCGTAGCGACAGCTCCCCCCCAATCACCCCCCCCGCCGAGACGGGTAGGGCGCCCCCCCTTTGTTTCTTGTCTCGCCTATTTACATGTCAATGCGGCCCCCCGTTCCGGCGCGCCTGAAGGTGGCCCCGGCGACTCTGGGAACGGGGAATGTTAGGGAGTTGTTTTTCTCCTCTGATTCCCGGGGTCGTTATCGCGCGACGACAATTTGGCCGGGTCTTTCCCGGCTGCCGGGGAGCCCCTGTCCCTCCAGCCGGTGACCCGGGCGCACGTACTGCGACCCGCCCTGGAGCACGGAGGAGGCTCGGAATCTTTGGAGACTCCGGATCCGGCGACGGTCCGCTTTCTCCCCCGCATAAAGTGCAGCGCAGACTCGAGTTTAGGGTTCCGTTTTCCGCCACTTCTAACTTAATTTTGGCTTACGTCCCACCCGCTTCTCCGTTCTCTGACTTAACTGTTTTGTCTGTCTACCCGCATCCCTGTCCCTCGGTTCTCCTCGCCGGTCGCCCCCAGACGCCGCACCAGGCTGCAGGCCAGCCCTTCAAGTTCACTATCCCGGAGTCCCTGGACCGGATTAAAGAGGAATTCCAGTTCCTGCAGGCCCAGTATCACAGGTGCGTGTCCGGCCGCGCAGGGCGAGTGGTAGCCCAGGGGCAGCCCCGGCCCCTCCTCGCGCAGCCTGGGGGCTGTGGCGGCTGTACTTAGTACTTGCGTCCAGGCGGTGGCGTGTGGAGTCGCAGTTAAGACCTGTCATTCATGTTACCCCCTTTCCAGGTTCTTCCCGGGCCGCCTCTTCTCTAGTCTCCTCCTCCTACCATTGTTTCCCTTTTGCCCGTTTGCTGCGGTTCCAGGGAGCCTTTTTTTTTTTTTTTTTTTTTTTTAGTATTTAGAAGTTGCATGAGAACCGTCAATATTTGCACTTCGTTTATTTATTTTGCAACAGGCTGAGCTGAAACCTTGGTTCAATCGATGCCCCAGCCCTGGAGTGCAGGTTTAGGGAGGCAGAGCCGGTGTTGAAATCGCTCTTTGCCATACTAGAGGATCGTGTTGTCTGAGGCAAAGTCCATTATGGAAGGCTGTAGATGCTGTTAGCTGTGCCCATCATTGGTGGTGAAGAGGGAGGTGGATAGATGTAGGGAAGGCTCCCCTGCTTTGGCGTCACTTTGGTTGGTTTGGGCAGGACAGGGGACTGGAGTCTCAATTACATATATCCCAGCTTAGTTTCTTCATCTGATGAGACCTACTTCAAAAGGTTTGTAAATGAAAAGTGATTGTAAATTTTCCAGAAATATTAGTTTCTTCCCTTGTTCCTATGAAGTCTTCGCTGATTAGAGCTAAGAAATAACTGTAATGGCAGTTTTTATTTTTGTCAGGCTGGAGAACAAGCACACAGATGCTTGGGTGTGAGTTTTCTTATTTTGTCAGAGGTTTTTCTGATTATTGACCTTTTGTCTGCTTGAAGATAGTCATCTCTGGAACTTGAGGCATACCTGCCCACACTGTTTACCAAGTAGGGAGGACTTCAACCCACTTTATTGCAGTAGCTACTTCACATATTTTGGCAGGGATTTAAAAACCGAAGATTTTAAAAGGGACCAACAATTGTAGAAGTAACTTTACAAGTACAGTTTTCAAACCTAGAGACTGTTTGAGTTGGCAGAGATGGGACAAGCCTATGTCTGACGCTGAAAATTGTGCAAAGGCCAGATTTCAGTGGAGTCCAAAGGAGCAAACTGGTGCGGGGAAGTAGGAGTGAACAGATGAGCAGGAGGAGAAATCAATCTTCTGGGTAGATCAGAGGTTTTGACAGATTTTTCACTCTTGGCATCTGACTAGGTATGCACCAAGAAGAAAAAGAATAGTAGCTGAATGGAGACCCTGTCCTGTTCACCTGACCCCTTTTCCCTATAAAATGCAAGGACAAAGCTTTTGCATGTTTACCTAGATAGTTTATGGCTTTTCCAAATTGGTCTGTGTTTTTACTTGAAGTGCAAATATGTGAGGCAGATGTTAAAACAAGTGACATAATGTTTACATTAAGTTGCCTGTTTTGTTTTTGTAGCCTTAAATTGGAATGTGAGAAACTGGCAAGTGAAAAGACAGAAATGCAGAGGCACTATGTGATGGTAGGTATCAGAGATTAGACTTTTCTTCTTTTCACGTAAGGTTAGCAAATGTGTGTTCTTAGCATTGCAAAACATGAGTTAACAAAATGCTTGTTTTTTTTTCTTTTTGCAGTATTATGAAATGTCATATGGATTAAACATAGAAATGCATAAACAGGTAAGCTTTAGTTAAATCTCTAGTTGAAATGAAAAATCAGTCATGATTCCATAAAGCTGGCTTTGTCCTCAGTGGTGGGGGGATTTGTATGCTGTTTTCTTGCCTTGGTTTCCCTTCCTGTGAGTTGGTGGTAGTATTTTGCAGAAGAGTCGCTTCTTGACAGTTACAGAATCTTTAAATGACTAGGTGAGAGGTGCTTTGGAAATGTGAACCAACCTGTTTCTAGGCTGATAGAAACTGAGTCTCTGAGTTGACTTTTCCACCTGGGTAGATTCTTTCTCCTCTTGAAAGACCTGGGTATCCCGTAGAGTTCTGAAGTTCAGAATAGCTTGTTTTTTTGCTGTTTTGGACAGCGGTGTGGTCTTATATTCAGGAGTTCCTTAAGCAGGTTAAACATCGTGTATGACTAACCTAGGTTTTCTTCATGCTTCAGGGATGCATAAAGTGACACTCAAGATTAGTGGCTTATTAGCAAACATCTTTTTGGAAAATTTCTCAATTGACGCAGATTTGGAGGTGAAAAAGCATTCTTTTATGGCCACAGCATATGTTGGGAGTCGCTTCAGTCCTAGTGGTTTTAAAAGCATGAAAAGATTAGTGACTGGAAAGCTCTAGCTATGACTATGAGTTTGCAAGTTCCCATAAAATTCACACTTATGGCTACTATAATGGTGTATAAAAAGAGTATTGAGCTGGAACAAGGCACTAAGGACCTCATAAGAGAAGAAAAGCTAAATGATTGCTCAGCCCAAAGGACCCTCGATTGAGTAGTCATTGTCTGCCAAAGAAAGCATTAATGGCAGGGTGTAAGTATTCTGG